CTCTCTCTCACACACACACTCTCTCTCTCACACACACACTCTCTCTCTCACACACACACACACACACACACACACACACACACACACTCTGGTGTGAACAGGGCGGGATGTCACAGGAATGTGTGATCTGTCGTTTGTACAGCTGCAGCTCCGACACAATCAGCGCAGGAAGATTTACAATTAAAGAGACGATAAGCTGTGATGACATCACACTGATGTGAAGCACCGCCCACTCGCCTGTCAATCATCCACTGCACTGAGAGTCTGAGAAATGAGCGAAACGAACACATGGCGCTTTGTGAACAACATGAATCAAATAAAGACACAAAAGCAGAATCATGAACACGCGTTACATCCGTGATTTGATTTAACAACCCAACAGCAGAGCGTCACGCTAACGAGACGGCACAGTCTGACAAGGAATCACATGACCTCCCTATTGATTCAGAAGCATGTGATTGACATGCAAACGAAGCTCTTCAGTGACGAGAGTAACGCTGACCTGGAGCTAGTTTGCTATTAATGTTACGGCTATATTCACTGTGACAAAAATCTAAAGTAGCTATATATAAACATCAAATAAAAACAAATGATAAAAGTGAGCTGGAAGTAAGACATTACACATGACAAACAAACGCAGGCGAATCAGAACATATTTGATATTTAACTGTGCAATGAAGTAACTTGAATCTGTGAAGAGAATCATAGATCACACCAGCTAAATCATATGTAAATAAACAAATATTAGTATTGTAATCTTAAAGTTAATAATAATCATTTGTATTATTTTTCCAAAATTCTACTTTATTTTACAGTGAAATATTTGTCTTATTTTATTTAGTAATTTTTATTTAATAATAATAATAATTATTATTATTATAACGTTAAATATCGCATGCGATTTATCGTGCAGCCCTAGTTATTATTAATATTATTGGAAAATTAAATTAGTATTACTACATTATTTTTCTAAAATAGTAGTTTTTATTTTACAGTAAAATATTTCTACGAACTTTGTTTCTATCTAGTAATGTTTACTTAGAAATAAATTGCACTATTATTATTATTATTAAGTTAAATTAGCATTATTACATGATTTTTCTAAAATAGTTGTTTTTAATTTTACCGTAATATAATTGTTTTTATTTTTATTTAATAACCATAACTATTTTATATCCATATTAATATATAACCACAAAATGTTGGCCAAATTATGCAGCACTATAAACAAGCACAGCAAACCCGGAAAATGTTCAGAATGCATTTTAAAGCGCGAAAGCAAATTGTCATCAGAAAAAAACAACACCACACACTTTGAAGTTTTCCCCGAATTGTGCAGTATCAGGTGCGCTACTGTTTGGGCTTTCCCAGGCTGCATAAGTGTATTGATGACACAGAGCGACTCAAACCTGTCAGAAACACGACTCCTGCGCCTCTTTAGCCACTGTTACCTTCCTGACAGATCAGAGAGCACCTGAGCCCAAAAACACCAAAGAGAAGAACGATATCTGTCTCCAGACCTAAAACTGCACGAGCTGGTCTGATCGAGACGACAGCAGCCAAACTAACTCAGAGAGATATGAAAATAACACAAAACTCCCCGGAGCAGAACAAAAGCAGCTGTGTTAGTCAATCTGAGCAGCTGGATTACCCATCAGCCCTCGCTCGGGTTACTACAGACTCACCTGGTTTAGCCTAGCGCTGCTGAAGGTAACACTTAACCCTCATCAAAGCCTCTACAGCAGGAGAAGAGCTGCTGTAATTTTCCTTGATAAAACGATAACAAGAGTTCGATAAATGTGTCCCTGCAGCACAAAAGCAGTGTTAAGTCGCTGGGGGATATTTGTAGCAATAGCCAACAATACATTGTATGGGTCAAAATTATAGATTTTTCTTTTATGCCAAAAATCATTAGGATATTAAGTAAAGATCATGTTCCATGAGTAAAGCCAGTTCTGTAATCAGCGGTAAATCTCCATCACCTGCAGGCTTTCACATTGAGCAGCATTAACTACACAGAGCCGTTGTTCACTGACGAGCTGCGCAAAACCACGTTCATATTCGCGCGATTTTTTGCGCAGCTCGTCAGTGAACAACGGCTCTGTGTAGTTAATGCTGCTCAATGTGAAAGCCTGCAGGTGATGGAGATTTACCGCTGATTACAGAACTGGCTTTACTGATAAGATGCGCGTTAAATATCGCATGCGATTTATCGTGCAGCCCTAGTTATTATTAATATTATTGGAAAATTAAATTAGTATTACTACATTATTTTTCTAAAATAGTAGTTTTTATTTTACAGTAAAATATTTCTACGAACTTTGTTTCTATCTAGTAATGTTTACTTAGAAATAAATTGCACTATTATTATTATTATTAAGTTAAATTAGCATTATTACATGATTTTTCTAAAATAGTTGTTTTTAATTTTACCGTAATATAATTGTTTTTATTTTTATTTAATAACCATAACTATTTTATATCCATATTAATATATAACCACAAAATGTTGGCCAAATTATGCAGCACTATAAACAAGCACAGCAAACCCGGAAAATGTTCAGAATGCATTTTAAAGCGCGAAAGCAAATTGTCATCAGAAAAAAACAACACCACACACTTTGAAGTTTTCCCCGAATTGTGCAGTATCAGGTGCGCTACTGTTTGGGCTTTCCCAGGCTGCATAAGTGTATTGATGACACAGAGCGACTCAAACCTGTCAGAAACACGACTCCTGCGCCTCTTTAGCCACTGTTACCTTCCTGACAGATCAGAGAGCACCTGAGCCCAAAAACACCAAAGAGAAGAACGATATCTGTCTCCAGACCTAAAACTGCACGAGCTGGTCTGATCGAGACGACAGCAGCCAAACTAACTCAGAGAGATATGAAAATAACACAAAACTCCCCGGAGCAGAACAAAAGCAGCTGTGTTAGTCAATCTGAGCAGCTGGATTACCCATCAGCCCTCGCTCGGGTTACTACAGACTCACCTGGTTTAGCCTAGCGCTGCTGAAGGTAACACTTAACCCTCATCAAAGCCTCTACAGCAGGAGAAGAGCTGCTGTAATTTTCCTTGATAAAACGATAACAAGAGTTCGATAAATGTGTCCCTGCAGCACAAAAGCAGTGTTAAGTCGCTGGGGGATATTTGTAGCAATAGCCAACAATACATTGTATGGGTCAAAATTATAGATTTTTCTTTTATGCCAAAAATCATTAGGATATTAAGTAAAGATCATGTTCCATGAAGATATTTTGTACATTTCCTACCGTAAATATATTAAAACTTAATTTTTGATTAGTAAAATGCATTGCTAAGAACTTTATTTGGACAACTTTAAAGATGATTTTCTCAATATTTTGTTTTTTTGCAACCTCAGATTCCAGATTTTCAAATAGTTTGCATCGTATGTGGATTCTACACATTTAAACAATTCGGATAAGGTATCTAGAAGTATTTATGGAGCAGATAAAACGCATATAATAATTTATTAATCAATTATCATTTTAAGACTGATTCTTTACTGATTTTATGAAACTTTTTCAAAGCTTTATTTGAACATTTCGTACATGTTATTAGATACACTGTTGTCAGTCATGTTGTCATTTAAAATCTGCACATCCTTGGTAATGTTATTGTTTTAGTGTTTATGCAAACAAAAACATTTTAATTTTGTTGATTTTAAATATAGCTAAAACTTGGTGAAACAATTTGTGTGTTCGTACTTTTTGAACATTTCCAGCACATTTTAACAACACCGTGATAATCCTGATCACAGTGATAGATTTGGTCACTTTAATCCTGATAATATATATTCATGATGTGACCAGAGACGTGTGTTTTTCACAATCAACCTAAACTAAAACGAGCCAGAGACCTGTAACTACCGGCCTGTTCAACATAAACATCCAGAAGACAAGACGCGACACGTCTCGGCTCCCGACAGACACGAGTGAGCCGCTCATGAAGCTCAGATAGAAAGATCAGAAACGCTGACGGCTAGAGATGCACGGATCGATAACTCGGGATCCTCAGATCAGGTATCGTTCTAGTTGTCTATATGTATTGTGTTTAACACACAACAGAGAGACGATCAGGTCAACACACAGACGTATAGCACTTCATCATCTCTGCTTGCTTTGAACAGCAGCTACGCTAATTTCATCTCCATTTGCTTCTCTGACTTGCGTCCCGAAGCAACTAGGAATTACACAAGCTTCAGTCTGGATCCAACCCTTACGAAGACCTGAGAAGAGATGATGCCAACCCCTCAGAAGACCTCAGATGATGCTAACCCTGGAACAATATATAAAACTACCAAACTTTGCTTAAATCGCAACATATAATCATTGCAGTTAATAGTGTTCACCGTCTGTTTGATTACGTGTAATTTGTAACTAAGCGCATGATTCTTACTGTACACTCCTGACATAGTCACCTCTAATAACCTACTCCTAAATATATTGTAGAAACTTAACATTTTCTGTAAAGCTACATTGCAACGATTTGTATAGTTAAAAGCGCTATACAAATAAACTTGAATTTGAGTTATAGAAATTATGCATTTATAAAAAAAAATAAAAAAAACTGCACTGGTATCGGACCGGGAATCGGCAGATCCTCAGAATGTTCTGTATCAGATCGGTTCTGAAAACACGGTATGGTTGCATCCCTGTGATCTCACGGACTCACCCTCGGGCCGGATCCAGAGCGATGGCTCTCGGCTGGTCCAGATCCTGCCAGAACAACACTTTCCGGTGCGTCCCGTCCAGCTCGGCCACTTCTATCCGATTGGTCTCGGAGTCGGTCCAGTAGAGCTTATTCCCCATCCAGTCACAGGCCAGGCCGTCCGGAGAGGCCAGACTGGACACGACTGTGTTCTGGAGCCCGCCGGGCCCTGACCCGTTAAACAGCGTCCGCTTGATGGCCTCCTCGCTCACGTCGCTCCAGTAAATCAGTCCCTGCTCGTAAACGTAATCCACCGCCGCTGCGTCCTCCAAACCGCCGATCACCACCGTGGCGTTCCCTCGACCGTGAGCCGCGTCCACCAACCGCAAGTCCCTCCGGTTCGCATACAAGAGGAGCGGCAGGCCTGCGGGAGACAGAGACGACACGCAGAGGTCAGAGGTCACGCCTAAACAAATCAGCCTTCATGATTCATTCATCAAACAGCGCACAACTAGGCTACTGACTTCAGTTCCCTTTTACACAGAAATACACACAACAATGATGTCAAGTTGTCTGTTTTGATGAGTATTCATGTAAACACACCTGGTCACTTCTTAAGTGAATGTAAGCTGTTGGTAGAATATTGCCATATTGAAACCATGCATATGCGAGAGAGAGAGAGAGAGAGTGTTTCTCTCAGCAGGGATCTGGCACAGAATCAAACCTCAATTTGACACATCCACCACAAAACACCGGCGACCTCAACCTTCTTGCCTTCAGCCAAAGAAGGCCTGTTTTCCTAACATGGGGAATTTCCTTTTCCAAATATTTGGGAACTCGCAGAACTCCGTGAAACCCGTGCCAGACTCAGCCCAGAGCAAACAGGAGAAACATTGAGCTTTTTGGACACTTAATATTTGGCCTCAGATCATGTCAACCATTTAGCTGATCTTTTACACACTTTTTCAGAGTTTCTTGCTGCTGGCTGTTGTTTGTCTGTAACACACACACACACACACACACACACACACACACCTGAACAGCTGTTAAACACAACACAACACACTCACATAAAGGCTAAAAGTGATTCTCCAGTGCAGAAAGACTCACTGAATCAAAGAAACAATCAGTTTGAGTCCTTCCACACATGTAACTGAAGCAGGAGAGCCGATCTCACACGAAACTCGCTCACAGGCCGCAAATTAGAGCAAAAATCACTGACATATTCGAGGCTTTCGGGACAAAAGCAGCTGCAAAGTAACGTTACTTAGCTAGCGTTAGCTTGACGAATCCAGATCACACGGCCGAGGGAACAGAACAAACACGATACACATCAACAGACAGACGAGTTTCTCCAACAACACAGCAGCAGCAGAGCTGACCTACACACCAAACATCAGCACTGCTTTAACGACGCGACCGATTCACACAAGGAGACTCGATTCTGAGGCGCTTCAGATCGACGCGATTCCTCGCTGAACGTCACGTTAAATGAAACTCACCGCGTATCTGCAAACACAAAGCACACAGTAAGAGGCTCAGTAGCACGGCACCCATCTTCAACGCTCAGCCGCGCCGCTTCGCTCGCATCGCTCCGGATTCCTCGCGCTGAATCTCCGCCGCGGTTTTTCATCGATTTGATTGTTTCTGTGCTTCAGTGTGACCGCGACGTCTTGCCGTCCGTCTCCTTCCGCTCACAGGAAAAATGCCCGGCCGCTTCCAAACCCTTCCCCCTCTCCCTCCGTCGCGCTTTCTCTGCTCTTCTGCTCGCTGTTGTTGTGTTTCATCGCATTCGCGTCTCTCCTTCTCTGTCTGAGATCACAGCGCGGCGGAGACGCAGAACAAACGGTTTAATGTGGCGCGGATGAAAGCAGGGAAGCGCATTCCGATGGGACTAGTTTTTCACGCAGCGGTTCGTGATGCGGCTCGAAACACAAAACAACACAAAGCGCCACGAACCCGAATTATATTTCATTATTACTCATTACGTACACGTATTATGGTAGTTTATTAGACTCTCTCTCTCAGTCTAGAGATTTTTTTTTCTGTGCGTGTGTGTGTGTGTGATTTGTGTTTGCAGTGATATTATACTACATCCATATACATTAAGCTAAATAATGTGTATATATGTTGCTACTGCAATCAATGTAAAGGTTTTGTTTTTGTACCATGTCAATAAAAATCCATCTTTATTCAAAATGACTCTCTATCAACAGCTATGAGAGCATAATAAAATTGATAGAGATATATGTATGAGTCACTCAGTAATATACACTGTAGGTAAGTGTGATATATATATATATATATATACACCTCTTGTGTCGAACCACAGCCTTGCAGCGGATAATAAACAATTTGTGCAAGTTTGAGTAAAAATGTTTTAATTGCAATTCAGATATAATATTATACATCTCATTTGCCGTCATTAAATTGTATTTGTATTAAGTATATATACCCTAGCAGGAAGATTGTAAATGTCATTTGAAAGAAACTCACCAAGACTGCATTTATTTGATCAGAAATACAGTATAAATTGTAAAATATTATTAGAGTTCAAAATGATTGTTTTCTATGTGAATATCTGTTAAACTGTAATGTATTTCTGTGATGCGCAGCTGTATTTTCAGCATCATTACTCCAGTCTTCAGTGTCACATGATCTTCAGAAATCATTCTAATATGCTGATTTGCTGCTCAAGAAACATTTCTGATTATTATCAATGTTGAAAACAGTATTGCTGCGCAATATTTGTGTGGAAACCGTGATACATTTTATTTTTCAGGATTCACAGATGAACAGAAAGTTCAAAAGAACAGCATTTATCATTGTTTGCACTAACAAGTATTTTAAAAGAGCTTTTGAAACATTATTGTCTGTCATTTACTGTTGCTTGTGTATTTGCATAACTCTGAACCAATACAATTCAGCACTCTTCATTTATTATTATTTTTTAAAATCAGAATATAATAACAAATCTTTTAAATACTGAAAAAGACTCATTTTTATTTCTTGCAAGAGAAACAATCACATTAATCTCAAGGTGTCTGTAAAAGCCAAGGCTCACCAACAACAAACATATAATAACAGATTAGAAAATACCGAAGCAGAATAAGATCAAAACACAGTGAAAACATGAAACGCATGTGAGGATCTCGCGTGAAATAAAGCACATGACAGAGGTGCACATCCATTAGTGAAGGAGATCTGTGCTCTGGATCCGGAAAACTCAGGGAAAGAAACTCAGCTGAGCCCGTCCTTACCCATGTTTCTCCAGAGAAAACTAAACATGAGCCAAAGAAACGTCGTGCAGGAGTGATGCTGCTCACCATCTCACTCCACCTGAGTTCAGTGTATTGCTTTTGATTTCTCTCCTTCAATCTCTATTCACAGATGAAGCGTCGACAGCGTTCAGTGTCTACACCAAACAGCCTAAATATTAAAACACAAAGCTTTTTTCCCAGAGAGCGAACGGGAAACACACTTCTCCACTGGATTGTGGCGTCGCTGGCGTTTAAACCTCGTAGTGCAGGTCGTTGAGCTCCAGTCTGGTGTAGTGGCGTCTGTCGAACGACTCCATGGCTTTACGGGCCGCCAGAGAGAGGATGAGCGCGAGGAAGACGAGTGTGATCACCACGATGGCCACCAGGCTGTTCTTCCACATCACTCGAGACACCTTGGGCTTCCCTGGAAGAGACAGAACGGGGCGACTGAAATCCCGGCGCTTTGGGTCGCTCTCCAGCTCAATCACCGCTGCTGTGCTTGTGGTTGTGGTTGTGGTTGCAGGTGTCGTGGTTGTAGTTGTGGTTGTAGTTGTGGTTGCAGGTGTTGTGGTTGTAGTTGTGGTTGTAGTTGTGGTTGCAGGTGTTGTGGTTGTAGTTGTGGTTGTAGTTGTGGTTGCAGGTGTTGTGGTTGTAGTTGTGGTTGTAGTTGTGGTTGCAGGTGTTGTGTGTGCTGCTCGTCGGGAGCGTCGTGAATCTAACGGGCTTCACTGAATGCGTCTCTGGTCTCGAGGGTTTGCTGGGTTTCTTGGGTCGGCTGGGTTTGATGGGTGTCCGTGGCGCTTTAGTGCTGCTGCTTTTAGTGGAGGAGGACTGTGTGGTGCTGGTTGCCGTGGTAGTGGATGCGGTCGTCATAGCGACGGTTTCCAGCATCTCGGGTGATTCTGACTCGGTCAGCGCTGCTTCAGTGGCTTCGCTGCTGGAGGTGGTGCTGGTTGTTGTTGTTGGTGCTGGTGTCGTGGGTGTAGTTGTAGTTATGGGTGTAGTTGTGGTTGTAGTTGTGGGTGTAGTTGCGGGTGCAGTCGCAGGTGTTGTGGGTGTAGTTGCGGGTCTAGTTGTAGTTGTTGTGGGTGTAGTCGTGGCTGTAGTTGCAGTTGTGGGTGTAGTTGCGGATGCAGTCGCAGGTGTTGTGGGTGTAGTCATGGTCATGGTCGGCTGAGGCGCTGCAGGTTTGGCTGTAATTCTTCCACTTCCTTTAGTTGTTGGATGAGTTAAACCTGAAAAAATCAAATCAATAGAGTGTTATTTTAGTATCACTGAAGATACTACTGTAGTTTTTTAATTAATATTCTGAATTAGTTTTAATATTTTTCATTTTCATTTTAATTCAACTAACCCTAACCCAACTGGTGTTTGGTGATGAGTTTTTGGCTCAAGGTCTGCATTTAAAGTCACAGCAGACCAGACCAGTTCTTCCATACTGACTCAATCAATCATTTCTTTCTGAACCTTGCCTTATACACAGAGGCATTGTTGTGTTAGAATAGAAAAGGCTCCTGTCCAAACTGATGCTATAAAATTAGAAGCACACAATTCCCTAGAATAGCATTACACGCTTAAACATTAAGATTTGTACTCATGGAAATTACTAAAGTAGTCAAACCTGTTCATTAGAAGGGGGTGTCCCATGCCAATATTTTTGTCCGTATAGCATATATATACACGCACACACGCACACACACACACACACAAACACACACTCACAAACACACACACAC